TCGATATACCGACAGTCAACTTGGCACCGCTGAAGGGACTGTAGCACCGCCCAAATTTCGACGGAATCAAAGGCTTTCTCATAGTCCACATATACCAGACAAAGTGGCAGATTGTACTCTTCGGTCTTCTGTACAATCTGCCGCAGGGTATGTATGTGGTCTTACGGTACTGAAGCCTTTTCGGAAACCATCTTGTTCGGGAGGCTGGAAGTCATCGAGTCTGCGTGCGAGACGATTCGTAATGACTCTCGAAAACAGTACGTTTGGCCGCGTCTGGCTCATAAGGGAAATCGGTCTGTAGTTCTTCAAGAGAGCGTTGTCGCCTTTCTTAAAGAACAAGACCACCGCGCTTCTGCTCCACGCCTCCGGAGTAGTGCCACCATGGAGGACGGAATTGAAGAGCTTCTGAAGGACTTCAAGTACCGGTGTTCCAACCGCTTTCAGAAGCTCCGCTGTAATTCCATCCTCGCCCGGGGCCTTGCCGTTTTTAAGGTGGTGGAGAGCTATTCTAAACTCGCTCAGAATGACGTCCGGGATATCATCGGAATAGTGTCGGATAAGACTTGCTCTTGGATCTCACACTTGCGTCTGGCTCCAACGATGATGTGTACAGCTGCCCATAGAACCTCTCAATATCACTCAGAATCTCAGGTGTCCCGGAAACGATGTTGCCACACTCATTCTTCAGCTTTGACAGTTGGCTCATTCTGGCAGACAGATGGCAGGCAAAAACTTTGGAGCCCTGGTTCCGCTCGATCGCTTCTTTAATACGAGCAGTATTAAAGTTGCACCGCATGCATTTGGAGATCTGTCTGTTCAGTTGCCTGTATGCTGTCAAATCTGTTGACGATTGCAGCCTCATCTCCCGTCTAACAGCCTTGAGATTAAGAGTGTGATCGGAGAGTTTTGTGTTCTTCTGCGGTGGGTCTCGAACTCTCCGACCCGGACAGTTTCCACGAGCTTGTCATTCATATCGTCCACTGCATTGCAATCCTCTACGCACTGAAAGCGGTTTTGTAACTCGAGCTGAAAGGTTTCGGGATTCTGGATTAGAGTACGAGGGGGACAGAGCGTAGACTTCATTAGACGAGACCTCTCCACTTAACGTTTAGGTTCAGTGTGCCTCTAACCATTCGGTGATCGCTGCCAGTTTTCACCCTTGCGATCACTGAGACATCACTGAACAGTTGGCGTCTGGTCGTCATAATGAAGTCAATCTCATTTTTTGTCGAACCGTCGGGGCTCGACCAGGTTCACTTCCTGTGGGGCCGCTTCTGGAAGAAAGAGTTCATCATAAAGAGTCCCTCTTTCCCCATAAAGTCGGCCAGCTGCTGGCCCCTTCGGTTCCGTTGCCCTACATCAAATTTCCCTACCTTCAGCTCACCGCTTTCTCTTGTGCCTAGCTTTGCCTTGAAGTCTCCCATCGACACCGTGTAGTGGGTTTTGGAGGAATGCATGGCTCTAGAAATATCCTCATACATTTCCTCCACCTCCTCATCGGGATGTGCCGAGGTTGGTGCGTAAACCTGTATGACCTTTAGCGAATACCGTTTGGTGATTCTGAGTATCAGGTACGCGACCCTCTTCGACACACTCCCAAACTTTACAACGTTGTTGACGAGAGACTTGTGGACGATAAATCCGACACCTCCTTGGGACAGATCGTCGCCCTCCCGGTGGTAGAACAAGTTGCCGGACTCGAGGATTGCCGTGTCCTCCCCCTCTCTTCGGACCTCAGATAATCCAATAATATGCCAGCGCAACTTGTCTACCTCTTCTTCCAGCTTCAGTATCTTCTCGTCAGTCCTCAGGGTGCGTGCGTTATATGTTGCCAGGTCGAGTCGTCGTAGGTAGCAACCGAACCTCCACCGGAGATTCTTAGCACCCCCTGCCCCGCCGTTACCATGGTTGCCACCGTAGCCAGGATTAGCGGGGCTTCCGGGGACTGAGGGCCGTTTTTTTGCGTCGTTATTCATGTGGGGATATTTGCCATAGTCCACGCACGGGTTGGCAACCGCAGTTTTTTATTTATCACTGTTGTTATCAGGAAGATGCTGCTACCCATCTCCTACCTGTCTCCCTCTGTCGTCTCTTACGACACCCACGGGAAGATATGGGGTAGTGGATATTCTCAACCGCCACTACACGGCAACAAGAAGACAGGAATAACTATTAATATTAGAAAGGGATGGCAAGAGTCTCCCATACATGCAAACTTGAGTGTGCCAACTTTTATAGGTGTTTAACAGAAAAGAAAAACGCAAGTCCGAACCAATTTCAAGAACATTGATTAATTCTCCTTGCGGTTTAGCTCGGGAGTACTTTAGTAAGTTGCTCAATTGACAGTTCGTTCGGGATCAGCTACAATATCCAGCTTTAAATCAAGCGAGAAAACGAAATTAGGAAAAGTAAAGTAAAAATAGTGAAAGTAGTGAAATTTCGGTATCACATTTCCAAGAAGCAGTTAAGAATATTTGCTGTTTTATTTCATCAGTGTCCTATAAGTAGGGAAATAAAAAGATATACATTACACTTAGTCCATGACTGACTTATGGACCGGGACCAGACCTTGGGGCCTGTAATCTTAGTCGGTAACCACTTTCTTTTGAGAGAACGGTTAAGGTTCTAAGTCGAACGTCTTACAGGTCAGTCAGGGTCACGCTCACCGCGTTGATTAGCGAACCCAACGTGGTAGGAAAGGGGCCAGTATCTGGTTGATCACTGTTAAGGGCGAGAGATGAAGAGCAAGACCATTCGTTTTAGGAAAATATGCATTTTTATACTTTTCTCACATCTTTTTTAGGGTTCCGTAGTCAACTAGGAACCCTTATAGTTTCGCCATGTCTGTCTGTCCGTCTGTCCGTCCTCGCTTAATCTCTGTGCCCGTTAGCACTAGAAAGCTGAAATTTGGTACCAATATGTGTATCAATCACGCCGACAAAGTGGTAAAATAGAAATTGGAAAAAAATGTTTTATTAGGGTAGCCCCCCTATATGTAGTACCCCTATATGTAAAGTGGGAAGTGATTTTTTTTTTTTAATTTCAACCCTAACGTGTGAAATATTGATGGAAAGGTATTTAAAAATGAATAGCGGTTTACTAAAATCATTTTTTGATAATGTCAATAATTTCGGAAATAATCGCTTCAAAAGTAAAAAACAATGTGTCCCCCCCCCTCTAACTTTTGAACCATAAGTTTAGAAAATATGAAAAAAATCTGAAAAGTAGAACATTATAAGGACTTTCTAGGAAAATCATTTTGAACTTGGATGGAAACAACAGTACCCACTACCGGGAGCAGTTGCAGGAGCGCGGAGCGCTGCTGGAGCGCGAACGTAATGGATACCCACCTTTAAACTCATAAGTGGGAACACTTATTGTGACGGACGGGAAACTACGGAACCCTACACTGAGCGTGGCCCGACACGCTCTTGGCCGGTTATTTTATTTGAAAGCTGGTGCTTTACATGTGGTCCTGTATAAAGGAGTCCGCACACTAATGGGAACGGAAAGGGATCGTAACCGTATCGCCTTTCACCTCGCTGTCAACCAGGCGTCAACCTACCGTATGCACGTAACGAAAGCGTATCAGCAGCGCCTGTACGTCAACTCGGCTACGGCTAGGCGACACCGCGCTTACGCCTCGCCGCCCGCTGGCTGACCTGGTTGGCACCAGATCAGTTTGAATCCAAACGTTAAGTGTAGCGTACGGTTATGTCTTGGTTTACAATACGTGAGTTGGCTATCATAGCCATAGTACTTGATGAAGAGGAAAAAGAAAATAGCAAGAAAAAAAGGAAAAGATATTGGGTACACAATATGAATAAAGCAAGGAGTACTGAAGGGGAATTTCGGACTATAAAAAAACATTTGATGGATGATGAAGAGAAATTTTATATTTATTTTCATATGCCGAAATTTCTCTTTTATAACATATTGCAGTCTATAGATGAATGTATAAGGAAGAAGAATACAACATTCAGAGAAACAATATCGCCCGAAGAAAAACTAGCTGTAACGTTAAGGTGAGAAATTGCATTTGTTTTTGGAATTTTTAATCTGGTCTACAAAAATATTTGTACAGACGCCAGCTTTTCCCAATCAACTTTGAACCTAATGCTTTAGCGATAAAGTTGAAAATCTATTAAAGAATTTTGACAGATTGTAGTAGGTTGATGTGCTGGCGTCTGTAGTGTACAAAATAAAACTCGGTTCCGAAACTCCGAGATAGATTAATTTTTACCCTCTGTTGATAAAATTATTTGTTTTGGAACGCAACCCTCATTAGCGATCAGGTGTGTACGGGGGGTGTACGTGTTATGTCTGATGTGTGTGTGTATATTTTGTGTGTGTGCGTAAGAATAGAATAGAATAGAATAGAATAGAATAGAATATACTTTATTGTACACCAAAATTATATCAACTATTTTACAATATTCAAAACGTATGGGTTAGTAACTGCAACTTTTTTTTAGTTTAGGTAAAAAAAAAAATACTCATAAATCACATATTTTTTTATCATTCTAAAAGATATCATAAAATCAAAAAATTATGGCAATTTAACAAAAATAGCGCTACAACAAAAATACAATCATTGTATAAATTAAAGAATGTTTGAAGTATTAAGATCGTCAGCATTTGACGTGCCATTTTCTTCTAAGTTTGACATATTAAAATCATCAATGTTTGAAGCGCCAGATGTTGATTGTATCTCGTGGCTAATGTTATTTAGAGTGGTATAACCTCGAGGCATGTCATCTTCTCTTTGGGGAATGTAAGGGTTGCGATAACTGTAATAGCTTTGTTTCTCTGCGATTTCTTTTAACTCCATTTCCGAAACTGCGTTATATATTTTACTTTTTATAACCGCTTGGTTATATTCAGAAAAATTTTTAACCGTTGCCGCAATGCTGTTAAAAAATGTTTCTATCTCATCTTCTTTTTTGGTTTCGTTGTGATTTAATAAATATTTCATTAAAGTTTATGACGCTGAATTGCTATCAACTTTTTTTTGAAGTTTTGGATGTAACTGAAGATGCAGAAGACTTAGGACGCGGCGAAAGTGCAGAAGTTTCCGGTTGTGAGTTTTCTGGAGACTGAATAATGTTTATTGAGTTCTGTGAATCATCATTACCCAAGAAACTGCTAACATCTGAATCGTCATCATAATCAACCGAAGAGATCGTATTTCTTTCTTTGTAATGAGGTACTAAAAAACTCATTTCATCTTCAAAGGTCCACTTTTTCGTCGTCGGGGCTGCCTGACCACTCTTAGTTTTACGCTTCTTCATAGCTCGTCGGTGAGACTCTCTAAGATTTAACCAAGTTTTCTTGCATTCAGATTCTGAAATAAAATAAATCATGGTTAACTATGTCAAGCGCATGTAGTTACATAATGTAGGTATGTGTGAAAGGGAGTACGTACACACACACATTCACATAAACATATACACGTATTATATAAATATACATTTATTGTTGCAGGTACTTCATAACTGGATCTACATTTACTAATTTATCATCGAGCTTCCGTTTAGGAGAATCAACTATTCGTTTGATAGTAATAGATGTGTGCAATGCAATAATAAATAAATTAATGCCAATTCATATACCTCAACCAACTACAGCCGCATGGCAAGGAATCGAAGAAGGATTTAAAAATAAATGGAACTTTCCGAATTGCATAGGCGCCATTGACGGCAAACATGTAAATACAATTGCACCTCCCAATAGTGGATCGTTGTTTTTTAACTATAAAAAAACATTTTCTATTGTTTTGTTAGCTATAGTTGATCCTGAATACAGATTCATAGCGGTTGATGTCGGAGCCTATGGAAAAAACAGCGATGGCGGAATCTATTCGTCATCTACATTTGGAAAGGCACTTGAAAGAAACACATTAAATATTCCATGTGACAAACCATTACCAGGTACTAATCATGCAATGCCACATGTATTTGTGGGAGACGAGGCATTTCCATTGAAGACATATTTATTAAGACCATATCCTCGCTCAAATACACGGAGACTATCAGATCCTGAACGGCAATATAATTACCGCTTATCACGAGCTAGAAGGGTTGTTGCAAACGCTTTTGGAATTTTATATCAAAAATTTGCGATTTACAACAAAAATATTAAATTGCATCCAAAGTTTGTAGATAAAGTGGTATTAACAACTTGCATTTTACACAACATGATGAGGACATATAACATTGAGATGAATTTACAGGAACCCAACAGAACAGAACATGAAATTACAGTTGAATTCGGCGAAGACCGATTGTTAAGTCAATTACCAAATATTAGTGGTGCCCATATGGCTACTGCTTTTAATGTACGTGAAATGTTCAAAACATATTTTCAAACTTCTACCGGACGAGTACCATGGCAGAATTGTAGCTTTTAGCTTTAAATATTAATGTTAATTCTTAATGGATATTACAGTTAAATTTTACATTATAATAATCACATAAATTATATTAATCACAACTGTTTTATTTCCCATACATACCTACATACGCGAAAAACATTAGATAAAAAATTAAATAGGAGTAGGTACTTACCAGATTGCTTTAAAGTAATACTTGTTTGTTTCCAAGCTTCGTCCTTTTTTATACTATTACTGTATTTAGCGTCACTTAAGTCATATAAATATGGATATTTTCTCACTTCTTCAATAAGTTTCTCCCTTTGCATCGTTATTTTGTGTTTGAATCTAACTTAAAATTTTAAATAAAACATACGCGCAACCAGTGTTGCCAGATGCCTTGAACCTTTTATCTGTATTAGAAACTGCTAAAATCTGTATTAAATCTGTATGCTATTTAAACTTAAAATCTGTATAATATAATAAACCAAACTAGAATAATTGATCATCATCATTGCTTCTTTTGAAAAACAAGGAATAACTACTAGCGTGATAAGCTGATAAGGTTTGATTACCGTTATTAAATAAAAATATTTTTATAGAATAAGGGTGACAAACGAGCACACAGTACGCCGATGGTAGGTGAATGCTGTGGCCCATAGACATCTACATTTATCCTCGCTTAAGAATCAAAACGCAGATGCGTTGTCACGCCTGAGGACTAAGATGGAATGCCTCGTTTCCAGTAAAAAAGGGCCTCCGGATTTCTACACTCACCATACGAAGAACAGCAGTATTAAGCTGGTAATTTACACTGGTATTCTGTGAGAGCGTGGTCCTTCCCCGGTCGAGCTGACTCATTCGTGCTGCAACCATAATATAGCTGCAGCGTGGCTCTACCAAGTATAAAATATACACTATACACAAAAAATTTATATAGCAAAATTGAACACATTAATATAGACAAACAACGTATTAAAACTGAAACATTTGATACAAACGAACATATAATTAATTTATTATTTTCAGTCACACATATTTTATATATACATATTATATAATACACTTGTATGTCTGCCGTACTAAGTAGGTAGTCACTTATTTTGCTTCTTCTTTTTAAGTTGAATATTATTTATGGTAACCCAATCAATAGAGTGAGAAAACTCCATAGACAGAGAAACCTATAGACTAATGATTAGCGTGTCCTCGAGTGAGAAAGAACGATAACGTAGTTTTAGGTTATACAATAATCATTATGACTTTTAAACATTTAGATAAAATTTTTAATTGTTCTAAGAACTGAACTGAACAAGATTCACCAATCTTAAGCTCACAATACACTTTTTTCTCACTTGAACCAACTTGTAAACTCCTTAGATCGCAACGAATTGTCAAAGTTGTTTAGCAAAGTGTAGTTTGCTAAATAAAAAAAAAACGGTACGGAGAAAGGAACAAACAATCACACCACTCTGTCTCATTTCTATGCAAAACCTATACATAAATCTACCTTTTTCGTGTGCGAATGCGAAAGAAGGCGTCAATTTGTCTATAGGTTTCTCTGTCTACGGAAAACTCTGTATAAAAATCTGTATCCAGTGCTAATCTGTATCACACACCGAAAATCTGTATAAATACGGGGGAAATCTGTATATATGGCAACACTGCGCGCAACACAAGTGAAATACGCCTTGCGAATGGCAGGATGGCGGCGTCTTTCTCTTTAGCACGCAAGTCGCAGGAGGGGACAGGGAACGGAGAGACGTATGCGCGGGGACGCAGAGACGTAAGGAGCCGTAAGCGCGGGAATTGCAAGTTCGGAGCCGGTTCTGAGGGGAGGCGATCACGGTACGATTCCGATTAGTGTGCGTTGCAGTAGGGAGTTTAAATACAAACCATTCTGAACGACTCGAGGCGATACGGTTACGATCCCTTTCCGTTCCCATTAGTGTGCGGACGCCTTAAATTTGATCAAGATCTGACAAGTAGTGTGTGAGTTATTAAATGATGTGTGTTTAACGGAATTATTTCTTATATTTACGCGAACACTACCCATTGATTAAAACTACTTTTGCGAATTTTATCGCGTTTAATTATTTATTTTTAACTTCCGACGTTTTGGGTGTTTTCAAACACCCATGGTCATAAAATAAAAAAATCCATAAAAGTAGTAATCAGTGAGTATATTTAATTGACTTCGACTACATAGTTAACATATGTTCTCATTTTATTTATATTGTAGACGGTTGTACAACATTTTTAATTTTGCCACTTGTTGATTTATCTTTTTGTTATTGTATGAACTATTTTATTCATTCAATTGTAATTCTAATTGGTTTGTTGTTTTATTTTATGAATAACTTATATGTGGGCATTGAAAAATTAACCCTTACTGACTGACTATCTAAAAAGGACTTTTGCAATACTCACACATCGTTAAATAAAATGCAACTTAACAAAGTTTATCAACTCATTATTACTTTTTTAAATAAATTTAATTTTTGTTGCAGATTAAAAATTGCCTAAGAGTACTTAGCTATTAAATATCACAAGCTTCGAATATTGCTGCATATTTTTGTAATTTTAAATGTAACATAAATTATTTTAGTTAGAAGTTAAGTATATTGTAAATATTAACAAGTTTAAATTATATTTTATCTTGTGTTGTTCATGGTAATGAGGTGAACCTAACATTTAGAAACACTGCAGCAACTGTTCTCTTTTTCGATTATTTTTTGATTTGGTATATGAGGCAAGAAGCACAAACCACAAAAGCCACAAGGAGAAAAAATTGAGAAAAGTTGTTACATCAACATCAGTTGAATTGAATAGAATAATTAGACCTTTGTGCAAAGAATTATAAGTTCCTCCGACAAAAAAATAGATTGTAATTATTTTTTATCAATGGAACTGATGATTTTTCTTACAAAAAACTAGATCTAACGGCTGTGGCAATATTTTACAAGAAACTGATGTTTTGAGCCTCGAATGAAAGAATTTGCTTGCACTTGTAAATTTAAACTGAAATATAAAATAAGACTTAATAAATATTTCTGTATTTTATTTCTTTATATCTAAATAAATTTTCAAAGTTCTGAAGAGGATTTTATTACAGCCACTGGCTATTAGGCTGAAACCAATAAATGCCTTTGCCTTAGATAAATTTAAATCTAAATGTCAATACCAATTCTTGAGGCTCGCTAACTCGCTATTGACCATAGAGAAATATATATGTAGCTATTGACTAGCTTGATACATATTCTGTGCTATTGACCATAGATTACTGCCTATATACTAGAGATAGATGAGCAACTCAAGTTTTATTTACGTTAAGTTCCGTGCCCAACCGTCAGGTGGCGTAAAATTAAGAGTGCTTTGGGCCCGCCCTTTATTTGCACTTTACAATTTTATATGTTCAGAACCATTAATTACATTGCACAAGTGCTGCAATGTAATTAATGGTTCTTTATATTTCTTGTGCTAATTGCTAGTTCCTATTAATAAAATAAAAACCGGATATATTTAAAATGTTTATTGTTTAAAAATTTCTTGCCTAAATTAATAACATTAGTTGTGTTAAATTTAACAATATTTGCACAATATCAATTGATTTCTTTAAACACATTCTTTTTAACTGGTTAGTTAAGTTAGGAAATATATTATGTTACAGAGAATACAATACAATAGAATTATTATTATTAAATATTTTTATTTTTTATTTTTTTTTATTTATTTAAAAGGACAACCAACAAGACGAACACTAATACATGGATTTTAAGGTAACATGAATATCAAACTAAAGCTAAGCGTCATCTTAATTATAGGCTGCCACGGCATGCAAATGTGGACTATGCAAATAAAACTTAAATAGGTTAGTTAACACTAAGCAAATGACAACTTAAAACATTTTAATCATCATTTAACAATCATTATTTTTATATGTTAAAAAATCAAACAATAGATATAGATACTTGAATCAAACAGACACCATTGACTTGAGAAACTGACCGAGCTTGCGTCTAAATTTCAACGGCTTGTCAGAAAAGATGTCGATGTTGTAAGACTTAGATATTAAGTTGTACTGTCTCTGTAAGCGATTCATGGTGGCATGGTGACCTAAGCTACTTTTGGCACCTTTTGGTGAGAATGGAACGTAACGTACGCAACGCGGCAACTTGTATGGGATATTAAAATTGACAGATCGCAATAACGCAGGGCAGTCAATGAGGCCATTGATAATCTTATAAAAAAAGCAATTGATCCAAAAACAATCTTCGCCCTTGTAGGCTAGTCATTTTAAAATAGGCAAGACGTTCCTTATATGAGGGCAGCAGTTTCGCTTTGTTAGATTGGTAGGATAGGTGCCAGAGAAATCTCTTCTGTATTCGCTCGATTCGCCTGATATGAACCTCATAATGTGGGGACCAAACCTGACTACAATATTCCAAACCCGAACGAACCAATGCCAAATACAGGAGAACTTTTGTTGAGGGCTTTTTGAATTCCATTGCATTCCGCAGCACAAACCCTAGCATCTGGAAACCTTTTGTTGCGACCTGGTCAATGTGCTTGTGAAAACGTAATTTTTTATCCATAATGACGCCCAAATCGCGAATAGAGTCCACCTCTTGCAATTTTTGACCGGCAATATTGTAGGACGGCGACAAATTCGTTTTGCATCTCGAAAATCTGATAAATTTACATTTTTCAGTATTTAAATATAACCTGTTCTCCCTACACCATCCAGCGAGTCGATCTAGATCCTCCTGTAATAGCAATGAATCATTAATACCTCCGATCTGCATAGACAGTTTCATATCATCAGCGTAAAGGAAACAAGCAGCATGATCAAAGATACCCACGATATCATTAATAAATATATTAAAGAGGATTGGACCCAGATGCGAACCTTGTGGAACGCCGGAAGTTGGCTGAAAGGAATGCGATGCGTAGCCATTAACCACAACGTGCGACTTGCGTTGATAAAGATAGGATTCAAACCATTCCAGAAGGCTGCCATACACACCCAAACGAGAAAGTTTACCCAGTAAAATTTTGTGATCAACTGAATCGAAAGCCTTACTAAAGTCGGTGTATATGGTGTCTACAGTAATACGGGAATCAAGGGAGCTAGAAACAAAATCCACAAACGGGATCAAATTAGTTACCGTTGAGCGAGATGCCAAAAATCCTGATTGGCAAGGAGAAATTAAATGCTTTATGTGATAGGACAAGACCGGGCAAACCAACGATTCAAATGCCTTCCCAAAGACTGAGAGTATCGAAATGGCCCTATAGTTCTTCACGGATGCCGAATCTCCCGACTTAAAAACTGGAACAATTCTCGCCTCCTTCCAGATCGAGGGAAATACGCCATTCATTAAAGACTCATTAAATATTATTGTTAGAGGAAAGGAGAGAGATTCACAGCATTGAACTACAAACAACGAGGGTATTCCATCTGGTCCAGCTCCCTTATTCCTATCTAGTCCTTTCAGAGTTTTCAGAACATCCTCCCGCCTAAGGGTGAGACTTCCAAGGAAGCAAGAGACTGAGTATTCTAGATCAGGTACATTGCAGAGAGGCAAGCTTGGCCGGTAAACCGAGGCAAAATAAGAGGCAAAGAGATTACAAATACCAGTTCCAGAAGTTTCTTCCCTATCATCGAAAGTCATTGCAGATGGATACGCATTGCTATTGACTTTTTTACTCTTGAGAAAGGTCCAGAACTTTTTTGGATTTACTGATAGGGACTTTTTAAGATCAGTTATATATTTAAGATAACAAGATTCTGTTAAATCAGAGCACCGTTTTTTAATTTTTTGGAATGCCAGTTCGTCGAGTGGGTTATTGTACTTTTTGTATTTAATCCTGAGCTTATACTTCTCACGTGAGAGGCGAATAAGATCCCTGGTATACCACAGGGGAAACTTTTTTGATGCTGGTTTGCTTTTAGGAACATATTTTAAGATAGAACTTCTTAGTATTGAGTAAAATTTGTTAGTCATTTCATCCACTGAGGAGCACGAAGCCAGGTCACTCTCCCATGGTATCGAGCTTAAATAATTAGATATTTTTTCAAAATCAGCTTTATAAAAGTTATGCCTCTCATTATAATTTCGGGAAAGAAGTTTAGCTGAATACCTGGAAGGCAGCGTAAATACCAGCGGTGGGTGATAATCATCTACAGAACTGAGCTCAGAGTTACTTCGTGTCACTTTCAACTGAATACTAAGATTAGAGAGAACGAGGTCTAAAATTTTGCCTTTATGGTTTAGGACCGTATTATATTGGGTAAGATTATTTAAAGCCATGAAGTCCAGTAAAGTGCTTTCAAATGAAGTCTTAGTCATATTATTGCCATTTACAGCAAACGGTACCTCCGTATCGTTCCAGGCAATACCACTCAGATTAAAATCTCCCAAAATTACCGCTTTTGCGTTAGACTCTAAGACTCTATTAGCGTTGTCGATATAATGTTCCAGAAAATGTTTTTGAATGGGCGACGGGAGGTAGACGCCACACAATAAAAGCTTATTTGGGGTACCTTTTTCCGTAGGTATATTCAATTCGATCCAAATATCCTCGCATTTACTCTCAAAATGGTGTAGCCTACGGGAATAAATATGCTTTGACACAGCCACCAATACCCCGCCACCAGATTTGTCCTGATGAAAGCCACTAGTCTCGCGGTCGCGTCTAAAAACTGCGTAACGATCACTAAACAACTCGGAGTCAAAAATAGTGCTATTTAACCAAGTCTCACATAACACTACTATATCATAATCGTATTTTAATATGTTTTTGTACAAGTTTGTCGTCTTCGTTCGAAGACCCCTAACGTTTTGAAAATATACATTTAAACTATTGAACTTTAAGCCATATACTATTACACGATAGATTACAAAATAACAAAAAGAACCTAAGATAAATTGTCCAGGGTCGATTTATTACGCACTAAGACGTATTCAGATGTATCAGTTTTCCGCATGTATATACGGCCGCCCCGGACCCATACATGTTTGTATTGAAGTTCTTTTGCACGTTTACGGGACAAAGCGTGAAGAAGCTTATTCTCAGGTGAAAGATTTTCTACTACATATATGGGAGTCTTCCTGTTAGGCCCCAATCCCACATGCTCCGTGTTCAATTTTTCCTGTGAGTGAGTTTTATTGTATTTCAATGCAGCGGCTAGCAGGGAGTCCCTGGAGCGAGGGCTGTTAAGTTTAACTAGAATAGAGCGAGGACGGGTACTCTCGGGGTTCTTCTTAGCAATGCGTGAACAATATAAGATATCCGACTCGTTTATAGGGCAACATATGGTTTTGCTCAATTTTGTTACAATAGATAAAACGTTTTCAGACTTACGCTCAGGAACACATTGGATTTCCAGGTTCGATGCCCGAGAGATTTGCTCCATTTGATTAAGACGGCTAGTAATGATGATAAGATCACTCTGTAGGGTTTCCTTTTCCTTAATAATTGTGTCAATTTTAGTCTTACAGCCACTCAAATCCTTTTTACATTGCTCAAACGAATCACTCATGAATTGTATTGATTCCGTGAGACCAGTGATCTCTCCCCTAAAAGCCTGTAGTTGTCTATTCAGGTCAGCTTTCAAATCTCTCACGCATTCTTCCATGATGACCCTCATCTCCTCCTGTATAATAACACGCAACTCCGAACGTGATACATTAAAACTCGTACCGGCGTCTGACTCAAGGAGTGAATCCGGGCCTTTACGGCGCAAGGTAACGTTAGCTTTGGGGTTACTGGGCGTCGATGGTCGGACCGGTGTATTAGAGTTATCGCTGCGCGGCTTTTTATTCTTACATTCAGGGCACAGCCAATCTGCCTTAACTTCAGTCGATAGGTTTTTAAGCTGAGCAGGCGAAATGGCGACACATATGCAATGATAGTATGCCACACAGACACAACATTGCATGCATTCAGAGTCCTTAATCTTAGTATGACAGGCGGAGCATTGATGCATATTATGTTCAAAATCGCGGCAACTACGTATACATGCAAACAATGCAGGTGCAAACGGCGCTTGAGTGCGACAGCAATTATGTAACTTGTCTCTTATCGCGCCGGGGGGTGAGGTGAAGTACCCCGCGAGTCCACAGGCAGCTACCGAGTGTTATAGTATTAAAATATTATTTTTATAGTTAGCACAACACACGGGATTATAGCCGCAACTGCTATTAGAAAGCGCTTCGTAAGAAGTAAACTCGCACGCACTGACACTGGATTTTTGCTACACTAACCGACAACACGTCCACTTACGAGTAATATATTGACTGTACTGAAAAAATATAGATTATTACACAATACTTATTGAAAGTCATGTTTTATTTACTACATATACCTCTGTCCTGGGAAGAACCAACAAGAAACCCAGCGGGACGTTTTTTTAAAACATATTTCACTTTACAATCATTTTGTTTATACATTTTTTAAATAAATTTTAATAGTACAGGCATGGTGGCGATCACCTCAATCACAGGGGTTATTATTGATGTATTTTTTTGATATTATAATAACACTTTTTGTACATTTTTCCTTAAATAAAACATTTCAACTTATTTATTGACAAATTTTGTACATTTTCTGAAATTTTGTTTTAAAAGCGTATATGTTGCCCCATAAAAGCACTACTGACTCTGTGTGGAGTGGAGTCTAGTAACTGGTGTTACAAGCTTATGTTTGTTCTTAGATTTTAAAGTATAAACATCTTTATTCTTATGAAAGCTTTTTATGTTTTTATGTACATACATTAGTATATATATATATATATATATATATATATATATATATATATATATATATATATATATATATATATATATATATATATATAATATATGTACAACAATACATACATTATTGTACATACATTATTGTTATGCCAAAGTTAATATATTTATTTCTTTAAATTTTTCTCTACGCGACTTTTACAATTTAAGATATAAATTGAACGTACGGCTCTCTTTTATGAAACAAATACGGCTTCAATGTCTAATACTAAGAAAAACTGTGGTATCCACAAGACTCAACTACTTCCCATTTAAGAGCACATTGATAATTGAATCCTCTCCAAAGTTTTGCTTCTTTTCTATAATTTCTTTTTAATAGTGGTACATCTTTAACTTAATATAAAAAGATACATTTTGTAGCAGCATTATTAATCTTTAAAATATGTACTTGATAACGTTATCATATTTTGGTAACAAAACTTTTTTTTAAATGTGTGTAATAACTATACTTTTAAAAATACAAACAATTTACAAAAGTGACTTTCTTATGCCCACTATACCATTGTAAATGTGTAAATCAATATATTTTTTTTACAAAATCAGCATTTTATATATGTATTATAACATACTCATACATAATACAACCTCACAAACCATTTGCGAAACTATAATCAATCTAATAAATTGTGGAAGGTACCATATAATCACATAGAGCAACAAAAATAATACTAAGAAATAATATTTCAATAAAACTGATATCATTGACTATGCACACCCACATATTCCTGAATGTGCAGTTAGTACAGTATAATATGAATATCGTGGAAGATGGTACAATTTCGAAGACAAATTGTTTGGCCACGTCGATAAAAACAAAAAAAGCCTTAAAAGATATATATTCTTAGGTAAATTGTTCACTTTACTCAAGACGGACATTAAAAATGTCCTTAAATAAATACTAATTAAGCCAGGCATAAACTTATTTATATTTAAGCAAATGAAAGACTTGAGCATGACAGAGTGCTTGTGTTTCTTAATGCTTGATGAGATGCTAGTGTTCTCCTCACTACATTACAATGCAAATGTCATAGGTTTTGAAGACTGAGGATGTTAAGAGTGAAAATATGATTAACATGTTTTGGTTTGATGATAAAGGAGATAAAGTTCATACTAAGCTTTCAACTAGTTATGGATTTTGCAAAAATGCTACGATGGCAGTAATTAAAAAATATATATAATAAAAGATTTATAACAAACATGATTAAATGGTGTCTATGATCAATTTACAATTAACACCAAAGTAAGCAATAATTAAGTTAATAGGACAAAGACAGCAAGAATGCTTTTGAAATTTAAAATAAAAAATAATTCTCTTTATTTGATACTTACACTTATCGAAAGGGGAAATTTTATTTCAAAAGAATTAAGATTTATACGCATGACGTAGTAAACTGCTAAATGGGAGCATTTATAATTGCTCTTAGATAGTGATGTGGGAGAAAATGAACTACTAGATGATGCATAAGTAAGCTGACATATACCTAAGTGTAACCTGATAAAATACCTAAAATTAGGAATAAAGCACGAATTTTAACCAACGTGTATTAGGTTGTCTTTGACTTTGTGCAAATAAGTCTTTACATATTAATAATTAATGTTCAATAAATATTTGTCTTTAACAACTTTGTTTTGATTTTATTTTCAAAACATTTTTAATTACCCCAAGAGAGCAAAGATACTTCATAGCAAGTATATTGTCCAAAGTCCGCCACGTGCCACGTCCGCCATTTTGTTTTGGTTTCTTTCGAACCACACTAATACTGTCTACTTCATCGTTCGACCCGCCATGCCTTTAGTCGTCACTTTTCGCGCACTCAGTATTCAAATAACCCCCTGAGTTTAACAGAAGTCCGTTATTTCAATTTTACGTACAGACAAACACTTCAATTACACGAGTATGAACAAATTTAAAATGGTCTACTTAGAATAATAACTGTTACAACTTAACAAGCGTGGCAACATGGCAAAATCCCCCCCCCCTATGAGGCTATTGGGGAGGCCTATGTTCAGCAATGGACTTTTATAAGCAGCAATGGAAAAACCTGTATTAGATCTATCGCCGTGCAAGGTGTTATGCTCGGGGAGCGGCCAATGCTACGTGTGCTAATTCGGGGCTGTTATAATAACTTCTGTTAGTCAGTTTTGTTTGATTTTGTTTAATTCCTTTAATCAAAGATTTTATAAAAAGTGTCTAAAACATAACTCGGAACGTATATGCTGTGAAACAAAATTTTACCTATTACAATGAGATTTCAGGAAGTTAAAAAAAGAGATGGAAGTTGAATGAAGAAATTGTTAGCAAGATGCTAATAATATATTATAAAATCTGGATTATTTACTGGTAAAAATGACCTCCACTCCAAACGAAGAGGTAGTAAATAGAAGGTATTTTACCGCTCACATTTTGGCAGTTAGCAAATTTTCAGAGATTGAAAACTAAAATATTTTTATTTAACGAGTTATAAAAAGATGAAAATTAATGCAGGTATGTAAATAATGTAATAATTGTAATAATGACATTTGTAAGACAACCCCACACCAAGCAAATACATCAAATTTGTAATGTTTCAAGAAAAACACTTTTGCGACTTTCAGAAAACTTTTCATGTGTTGGAGATTATAACAAAAATAATTAAAAACATTTGACCAATGATTTCCCCGAAATGGGATATTTGAAATCATTGTTAATAAATAGCAAATTTCAATTTTTAACATGACATAAACATAAAAAAGTAAGGAGGTATTTTATAAAACAAATTTAACATAACATAACATGACACGCACACGCGCACGCGCACGCGCACGCACACGCACACGCACACACACACACACACACACACACACACACACACACACACACACACACACACACACACACACACACACACACACACAGCGAGAGAGAGAGATCACTTATTATGTCTATAAAATTTTATGATTTCTTTATACAAAAAATTAAATTAATTTAAACAATACAACTATGTATTCCTCATCAACAGGGGGAGATGGGACTGTTCTCCTAAATACAGGTTACTAAGTAAACCTAGCTAGGAGAAGCAGGTTTCTACCCATTACAAATTGGTACTCATAATGTATTGTATATATTTGTAAAAAGTATGTGAACTATGAAAATGTCAGTAATGAATTATTATTATTATTTTTGGGGTATCTGTATAGTTTTCTCATCTGGTTGGTTTCTATAAATATATAATTATAAATTAAAATGAAAAGATAAATATACATAAATATCAATAAAATAAAATAAATACAAAAATACACAAATACATAAAGATCCAACCAGATGGAAGCCCTCGGCAGGGGAGACCAAACGGCCGAGGGTTAGGGGGAAAGGGGAAGAAACCGACGGACGATGCGGGCGGTATCGAGGACCACTGCCTTCTGCATTTGAGCCCGGAGCGGTCCGTCACGGAGTCCCAGTCGCCTCAGATGACCCGAGAGGCTGACTGGGATTAGCCCATTCGCAGAGACGACTACAGGAATAATTGCGGTCGGCCAACCACCCCACATGTCGGTCACCTCGTGAGCCAGGTCCAGATATTTTGTTCGCTTATCTGTTTCGGCTTTCACGAGGTTCTCGTCATACGGAATGGTAATGTCGACCAAAAATATCCTTGACTGTGCCCGGTCCATCAGCACAATATCAGGCTTATTCGCAAGAATAGTCCTGTCTGTGATGATGGCCCGGTCCCAGTAGAGCCTGGCGCGGTCATTTTCGAGCACGGCTTCCGGCAAGTACTTGTAATACGGCAATTTCCGGTCCACGAGACCGTATTTCAGAGCGAGCTCCTGGTGTGGAATTCTGGCTACTAGGTTGTGCCTGTGCAAGTACTCAGAGTTAGAAAGCGCCGAACAACCGGAGATGACATGCCTAAGTGACTCCCCGGGATGGCGACAAGCTCGACAGACGTCGACGGTGCCATCCTTTAGGATGTATCTCCGATAGTTGTTGGTCTTAATAACCTGATCCTATATTATTATTATTATTATTATATTATTACATTTTCATAAATATATTGCTATGCCAAAGTTAATAATATAAATTGAACGTACGTCTCTCTCTTATATAAAACAAATATGGCTTCAATGTCAGTCGCATGGCTCCAATAGTAATACCAAGAAAAACAGTGGTATCCACAAGAAAGACTCAACTACT